CCTACGCGCAACCGTATGATGATAGGTAACCCTAGACGCAACCGTACGCAACCCTACACGCACCCGGATGATGGTAGGTAAGTATGTCATTTGATTCGTGACTTTTTCTGCGACTTGTTTTGAGTTTGGCGAAGGGACATAACTCCCACTAAGCCGGCCGACGCCGTCTAGCTTGCCGGCCAAATCTGCTAGGAGAGCCACTATCTTTAGTCGTTGCCTCACAGTTTTAAAAAAAAACCTCGATGAATAATTCAGTTAAGAATAATAAAAACAATTTAACTGTGCAGACAGAAAAATAAAACATTACCTTAGTAAAGCTTTCAATAGCTTTCGAATATTGCTGGACGTGAACAAAATGCTCCCCTTCATCTCGCAACGTTTCAAATGTCCCCACAGTACCCGGCTCCTCCACAGTTGCGGCATCACTAGTGCTGTCTTTTCTTCCCCGGCCTTTAGGCATATTGATAAATGAAATATATACTCTGTGAATAATATACACGCAAATTAAAGCTAGTACACGCTTCTAGACTTCCACTGGTTAGTTACTGTCTATACTGGGTTACTGCTGACTAGTGCTCTGCAATGAATGGTTTAAATCAAGCACCTGCTGGCCGCTGTTGTCATAGCAACGTTTGTTTATTTGGAGTGGGCATGGATTCGTATGTGTAGCTTCAAATACCTTGTATCAGCCAACAATTTTTTAATTAATGTAACCCTTTATCTCTAGATAATCAACGACCTGACTAATTTATTAATTCGTTCCTAAAAGTTGAACTATAATGGCTCGGCTTTAGTCAAATGTTTTTTATTAACTGAAAAAAGTCGAAACTAAACATAAACAATTGAATTGGGTTGATGGCTGTGCCAATGCCAGTCAGTCAACCAGTAGGAGTTTTGGTGAACGAAAGTAATCTGAAATGTCTAAAATAATGTGATCTGCGCACATTTTCTTGTTCTTCTTTCTTTTAATTGTAAGATCTGTGCAAAACAGACTAATAATGGGTTAACTATTTTGCCATTTGATATAAACATGTGTATATATAATAATGTTAAAACATTATCATTTTTATAACCCGAACTCAAATGTCTCAAAACCTGACAATGGCGTTCCTAGCAACGAATTCAAGAAACTAGCTAGGCCTAAAAATAAATACATTTTCCCACGTGAAAAAAAATGTGAAATTGTATTTTATTGTATCTTGTAAGAATTACCAAATCTTTATATTCTATAAACTGTAAGCGTTTTTTATTTATTATGTTATATTTATTTATTTATTTATTTTTATTTTTTTACTGATCTTCATGTCGGCTCTGTGGCTAAGTCGATGCCGGGATGCCAGGTTAGATCCCAGCTGCGGGCAATGCGCCTTGCGTTGGTTTTGACAGTGGTATCAAGAAAGCCGGCTGTCAAGAAAGCAATGGCAAACTACTGGATGTAAATTACCTAGAAAAACCACACAACAGCCAGGGGCTGTTAGGGTTGGTTTTGCAACGTCCTGTAAAGGATACCCAACTAACTAACTAACTGATCATATATATCATAGTTGTCACATTCTGAATATTAATATGTTCTTGTAGTTGTACTGCTGTTAGGTGCTATGAATGCCTGGTCATAAGGTGAAAGTTCATGAGGTGGGAGAACTGGTGAGAGACCGAGTTACTTTCAGTCTCAGACTGTGATGAGAACGACGTTCTGCAAAGGACCTGCTACATGATGAGCATGATGATGTAAGCGTTGTCCACCAACATCACAGCACTGGGGACAATCCCATAAGCGCCCCGTCTCTCTTCTTCAGCAGAAACAGCAGAAATGCGCAGAGTTCCATTTTCTATGGATGGCATCAGTAACAGTCTGATTGTATACCATTCTCGCCTTTCGCTAGAGTTTTGGGCGTCGGCCAGATCTCAAAGCCAATCCTTGCAGCACCATGATGATCTGCTTGTGCCTCCGCACTGTTCACTCACTCCCAAAAGGACCCTTACAGAATCTAGCTTGTGAAGCATAGTTCACCACCAAGTGGTGCAGAACCAACAATTCCATCTGGCATTTCATTCCATCACACCAACATTATCTGGTGGGGATCTGGAGTTATTTTTAACCTCTTATATATCTATTGTACAGTGGTCATATCTTAGTAATGTTTCAATTATTTCTTCAACTTTCTTTTTTTCTCTACTCCTGGAATGCCTCGTGGTGTCAGGGCAAGAAGAGATCTTTGGAAAGTGCCTTCTTTTTTGTTTCGTATAAAGTACTTTTCAGTGTCTCTCATATTTCTGCGGTCCATATTGTGTGTCGTTGACCTCTGCTCTGTTACCACTGTATCTGTATAACATTGCTGTCTGTGGTGCCCTATCTGATGCCAATCTTGTAACATGGCCAAACCAGTATTGGTTCTGTGACTATTCTCCTCCTGATTTTGTTCGTTAGTCAATCTTTCCTCGTTACACCTGGCATAGAACATAAACATTTTATTTCTTTTGTGATTATTGTCCTTCTGTTTGACATTGATAGCATAGCGTCAGTAAAAATATTGTTTTGAACAGTGATCTTTTATTTGTGTTTGCATTTCAAAATTGTTGCCATTTGGCCTAAGCCTTGATTGGCTTTTATTGCATCTTTGTTGGATTTCTTTCTTTATTTTTCCGTCTTCTGAAAAAATGCTCCCCAGATATGTAACATCCCTCGCTTGCTTTATTTGGTGTTCATCAGTTTTGATATTGGTGGATCTTTCCTTTTCTGGAGAATGTCATAACTTCTGTTTTTGTCTACATTGATCTTCATATCATAGTTGTCACATTCTGAGCAGAGTCTATTAATATGTTCTTGTAGTTGTACTGCTGTTGGTGCTATGATTGCCTGGTCATAAGCGAAAAGCAGTTCATATAGTAATCCTCTGATGTTGTCCCCTTGACTGGTGTTAGCTGGTTTGCAAATTTGAGTGACTCATATGATGAACAGTAGTGGTGATAGAACACACCCCTGTCTCACTCTAGATTTAATGTAGAACTTTTCTGACATTCCTGTTCTAACTGCGCATTGACTGTTCACATATTCAACTCTTGCAAATTTAATAATATGTTCATTTGCTCCATAATCCTGTACTACCTCCCATAATTTACTCCTGTTAACTCAGTCAAAAGCTTTCTCTTAGTCTATGAATGTAACATGTAATTCTTTTTCGAATTATACCATCCTTTCCACTAATTCTCTAAGTGTGAATATTGCATCAGAACGACTTCTATTCTTTCCAAAATCCTATTTGTCCGTCACTAAGTTGTGGTTGGGTGATAAGGCGTAGCCTTTTTTTTCAAGGATCTCACAAAACATTTTCCCAGTGAGGCACGATAACACTTACAGTCTCTCTTGCTGCCTTTCTTCTTCCAGATGGGTACTGTTATTGCAGAGGGATTGGTTTAAGTTTCTTCTTGTCAATATAAAATATATATTGACAAGAAGACACTTAAAACCAATCCCTCTCCATTTTAATAGCTTTGACCACAGAGGTAAAGATGATATATCTGTCACAGCATTAAAATCTTGCTCTGGCGATCATACTACGTGCCTCGCTTTGGAAAATCACCTCATCCACAGCCTAGGCGTTTTTAGTCCAGGTGGTATCAATATCCAACATACCTTCATCTAAATAGTTCTACTCTTATCACATTTTAAATGTTAATTATTTTTGTTTCTTTTTTTTTTTTTCATATTATTACTTTATTCTATATCTTATCAGTATCATTTATGTATCATTAACATTTGTATTTCTTTTATTCCCAGTATTATATTATATATTACCAATACTACTGTTTATTTTTTTTGTGACTATATTTTTTTCAGCCATCATTTATTTTATTTTATTTCATTTATTCCACACCACATTTTTTTTAACATTGCTCACGTCACCCCTTAGAGATTTACTTACTCTCCTCTCCTCGTTGTTACGTTTGTGTAGTTCACTTATGTTTGAAAAAGGCTGCCTGGCCCAAACATTACGTTGTGTTGTTATGTGCACGTTTTTCTGCTTTCCCATTTTGTTGAGCTTTTTAGTCTAATTTCTCTGGAATTCCTGTGAATGAGCTTGACTGCAGTCATCCCCCATATTTTCACCATAGTAGATGTAATAGTAGTAGTAGAAGTAGTAATAGTAGCTGCAAGAGCAGCAGCTTTCGGTTTTTAATAATGTGTGTGTCTCTGTGTGTGTGTGTGTGTGCGTGTGCAGGTTCATACGCGTGCGGGTCCAGTTTGTGACCCTTTTAAAATAAAGTTTGCTAGTTCATTCATTCAGTCTATCCCACAGCAGTTTTCAACTGTCAATATCACCTGAATATACGTAAAAGTGCTCAGGCTTCCATCTTCAGCAGCTGGCACAGTTTTTATTCCAGTGGCACCAAAAGCAGTCTGTATGTCCATCTCACCCCGTCCCTGAGTACTAATTGTCAGCTAAATCCGTTGGACACTTCCTGCTGCACCATTCTCTTCAGACCATTCTGATCTATTTGTGCTTCTGCCATGTTCACTTACTCCCATACCTTGATGACATCTAGACACCAAGTGATGCAGAACAAGCCAAACTGTTTGCCTGATGCAGAGTAGAGGAAGTTAAGTTGTATGAAAGAATCATGAATGTGGGAGAACAAAAAACAAAACAAATTAAGTCAAGTGGGGAATCAAAAGGTGAATAAAGTGTAGTGGCATTGGATAGAGCACACATGGAGAAAACCTGAAAACAAAGTGACTAGAATGTTCTTTGCACTGAGACCCACATGGTCAGTGGAATAAAGGCAGACCGAATATTAATACATGAAGGAGAGAATCAGAGTATAAGATGAAACAGAAGAGGAGGAAATTAGATGAGAGGCTAGCAATGGTAAAGGATAGGATGTGTTGGTACATGGTGGTTGATGCTTATGCATCACTGGGAGAATTAATAGAGCATAAATTGCTAATCGTATTACATTTATTTGTAAATACTTCTCTCCAGTTAAGGATACATTTGGAGATGACAATGGCAGGGATAAGAACAACTAATCAAATACAAAATGAAGCTACTGAGACTGTGGAAAAGAAGCCACCCTCAAACTTGGCAGAGTTTCTAATGGCCGAAGGACTGGTTAGTGTTAGAAATGTTTTCTATCTTCTTCTTTTTCTTCTGTTGTCCTACTGCTTATGCTGTAAAACCTCACAGAGAGGAGCTAGATGTAGTTTCCTGTCTTTTGCAAGTTGTGTTGCTAGTGTCAATATCACGTCTTTACAAATCCTGCCCAGGTGATGTGATTATCTATACAGATGGCTGTGGGTTAAGAGACAGACAAAGTGCATGGGGGTTGATATCAAAAGTGAATGGATGTCGCTCAGTGCAGCAAAGCCTGGCATGTGATATCACAGCGTCTAGTTTGAGAATGTTGGTGGAAGCAGTCACTGCTGCGTTCTGCTGCTTGAGAATCAGCTGTACACACCTGTCGTTATTGTAACTGACTCACAGAGAATGTTGAGAAAGGTGGAGAGCATCCTTTAGATATTTTTTAAGTTGATGCCTGTGTGTTGAGAAATGAGCATGCAGATATAATTATGTAAAAAACAAATTGATACATCTTTGGACAAAAGAGGAAGACATTAAAAACCTAGACAGATTCATGAAAGAAAACTTAATAAATCATTGAATATGAGGTAATTTTCCTATTTTATTTTTAAACTAACAATGTCTGTCTCACTCTCTCCCTGTGAAATAAAAGAAGACAAAACCTATTTGCTGATGCAAAAAATTGTTAGTTAAATGTATGTGACACTGTCAATGTATATGATGTAGAAAAAAAAACTTTGTGAGAACACTTCATTTGCACATTAACCTTATTTTATATGACATAAAAATTTTGAAATTCAGTTTTCTCACACTTCTTTTTTTCAATTTGCTGCACCTCTAAAATCCTAAAATCTTGACTTATATAAGGAGTAGAAATTTGAAATTTGGTGTGCATATTCTTTAAACAGTAGTATAGATAATGCACTATAAAAATTATATTTCTCAAATACTTATTTCTTTTTTTAAATAAAAGTTGTATTACCTTATGATGCTACAATTTCTGACATTTGACCCCTTTTATATATATATATTTTTTTAACAAACTTGAATTTTAAGATTGTTAAAAAAAAATATTTAGAGACATTTTTTAAACACAATAAACTAGTGCATTGCTCAGAGTAAGATTAAATTTCACAAGAAGGTAATTTTATTCTTAATACCTGTGCTTGTTTCTAAAATTGTAGGATTCTTCATACATGCATGTTTTTTTAAAGACGGTGGCTATTGCCATGGCAGGCATGATTTAAAAAAATAATATTTTCTTTTAAATTTAAAATGTAAAACTGTATTAATACACATCACTAAAAATTACCATTATAAAATAATTGGTCTAACATCTTTTTGTGTGTGTGTATGTGTGCGTATCCTGACCCCTTAGGAAGAACACTTGGTTAACATGAACAAAATTGTAGTCTCCACAGTAATAAACGCATTTAACTTTTGTTTCTTGTCCTTAATGGTTCTACAAGTGGTATATATTGAAATTCAGATAACTTCATTATTATAACTACAAAAAATAGAGTTTAAAAAATTTTGTATGCGTTTTTAAACTGCTTAAGTGGCACATGGTATACAAGCTGTGCTGTTGTGTTGCTGGCATCATTTGTTTGTGTTTTATGTGTTTTACAGGATGACTGGCCATTTCCCATGAGTTTTGAAAATCCCTTAGACATCCAGTCTGATGGTCTTTTAATGAGCACTCAAGAAGACATTATTGCAATATTGAAAGAAGCAGTGTGTATCCTTTACACAAACAAATGTTTAGAGAGTGCTAACTTTGGTCACATAATTATATAGTACATGTGACATACTGCATGACCTGAACATCAAAGAGTAATGGCTCATAAACAGCATCCTCTCCCTAAAGCTGAAATATTTTGGACATGTCAAGGGCCCCCTGGCGGTGTGCAGAGAATGGTGATGGAGGATGCAGTTTCTAGAAAAGGAGGGATTTTCTGCATCTTATAAAGATGGTTATTAACAACTATAAATATAATTTTTTCTTGACAATTAATTAGCATTACAATTTGACAAGTTTGATGAACTGGAGAAAAGTCTGTCTGACCTGGGAGCTCAACTGAGTATTTATGCCAATGAGATTTTCATAGATGAGAAGAGCTGCCCTGATTCTGTTGATCAACAGTTCCAGCCACAAAGTATTTGAACTTAAAAATTACCTTATAGAAGCAGACAATTATCATGTTTTGTTGATGGACATAGACGCTTGCCTGTTGGTCAAATGGTCTTGGGTTGTAATCCACATGAAAGCAGAATTTCAATTTTTTTCTTTAATTACTCTAGTTCCATGGTTTAGCAGTGTAAAATAGGTACCAGGAAATGTCCTAGGAAGGAAAGGTTATCAGTGTGATGTTAACCACATCATCCTTTAAGTGCCGATCGGTTTATAAATAATATTGCCCATGTGGGTTCCATGGTCCCCCTTAGGGGTGGTAAAAGAACAAATCCACTGTCTCCTCCCCCCCCCCCAACACTAATGTCGTAAAAGTGTCAACTAAATAGGGTGTTTTCCTTTGAAGTCAGCATATCTGCCTGAGAGATAAAGAACCAGCAGTCTGCCTACTAATAAGCCAGATCTGTAAAATTGATGTGCACACAAAACTCAAGTTCTGGAACAAGACTAAAGTGCACAAGTGGACGAGCAACCAGAATTTCACTAAGAGCTTACAGCAGATGAATACCAAGAAGAAGAAAAAGAAAAGAACAATATGGATGTAGCATCTCCTTCCTCTTCTTCTTGTGTTAACCCTTGTTGTGTTGTAGTTTACAGCAAGGCTGCAGAATCCACTCCATTTGGCCTAACACATCCAGTTTCAGCAGACCTCTAATTAGTTGCCTTTTATGGCATGCTTGTTATGGGGGCAGTGGGTCTATTCTTTAACCCTCCCCCCACACAGTATGGCCCTGGAACCCACAAGGAAAAATTATGGATGGTAAATTTAGAGATGTTTCCCCATGTGAGTTCCATAGCCCATTTTGGAAGGGCCATGGAATATACCTCTAGCACATTAAGAAGCATGGCTTAAAAGGTAACTAATTAAAGGTTTGGTTAAATCTGGTGTGTCATACTGAAAGATGCAGATATTTTATACTCACTGTAAACCACATAACGTGTCAACCACCATTCTAAGGATGAACACAGATAAAGAAGATTTCTGCCTAGTCAAGAAGCCAAACATCACTGAAGAGGACTGCCTTAACTGATAGCAACCAAATATAATAAAAAGAAAACACACAAAAATGCATTGCTAACTTTAGGCTACCAGTATCAAACATATATTCTTACTACAACTAATGAGCAGAAAATCATAACAACAGAAATTATATGTCTTAGAAGTTATTAAGAAAAGATACAACTAAAGATGAAAATATTAGAAGTCTTTAAACCAATCAAACAATTCATTAGGAGCACAACTTAAATGGTTTGTTCATCTGACTAGAATAATAACTGCTACATAAAGCCAACTTAAAGAAATATAGGGAACGAAGAGTAAGAAGAAGACCATGCAAAATTATGGAATTACGGCATCAAGGACAGCCTTAGATAAATGTAGACTGTTTTACACAGAACATCAAGAAGACCTTGCATCCATACACATCACCCCACACTTTGCTGAAGTAGCTGGACGATAAGAAGAAGAAGAAGAAGAATGTGTTAGTTAATATTTGTTACACGTTTAAGATGTGTTCACATTTGTTATAAATTTTTTAAAATTTTTTTTACTTTGTATATTTGTTAACATTTTTTTTAAAATTGCTATCCTGTATTACTGACTATCTCTCTATTTTAACTTCTTTTGCCTTTTATTTCCTACTGGGGATGCTTTGGTGCTCAACTAAATGTGGTTACGCACAAAGACCAGTGTTTATACTGATCAATACTTATCTATATCTGTCTGCTAACATCCTAGAAACAGGTTCCCAGCAAGGGAAAATGGCCAGCTCAGATAGGATCACTGTATCCTTCAAATCAGGACAGATCTGCTTGATGGAGAAGGAATCAACAGTCTGCATACAAATAAGCCAGATCTGTAACATGGATCTGCATGCACCAATGAAGTCCTGGAACAAGACATACATCTAAAAGTAGACAAACAACCGAGACTTTCCACAGGAGTTTACATGCAGGGAATGTAAAGAAGAAGTAGCAATGGAAAAAGATTAAGAAGAATATTTCCTATTGGAGCATAGACTCTAAATCAATTCACACTAATCTGTCCCATAGCTTGCCATCTCGTACAGCTCTCTTCATATCCTCCCCATGCCATATACCTCTGTCTCTTTTTTTTTTTTTTTTAAACACTATTTATTTTCTTTCTGTATCCCTCCCCCTACTCTCCTCCTTTCTGTTCCTAAGAAAAAAACTTTCTGTTCTCAGATTTTCTCAACATGTATCCTATCAGCAACAATGCATTTTTCTCCCCTCTTGATTCACTAGACTGTCGATGAATTCCTAAGCAACACATTTGCAATTCTGCCATACAGTTTTAAAGTTTTTTTTTTTCTGTGTAGGCACCAGTTTATTATTGTTTGTAGTTTAAACTTTAGTCATAATCTGTGTTATTCATCCATATAGTAGTACTTATTCAAAATTAAAGCTAAATGTTTTAAGTTATACTGTGAAAGCTTCTCTTGTCCTTTGCATTCTTAATTTAAAATCTCTGATTAGTTTACCTGCATTGTTTCCTAAACAGATGTATCCACCCCTGTTCAGTTTAACTGCCTTATTTATTTGATCTGTTTATTTGTTTCATTGTTAGCAGTTTCTATTACATGTGTCAATATTATTATTTTGTTGTTGTTGCAGTTTTTGTGACAGAACTGTCAGAGCCTAATAATCCAGAACTTGACACTGATCCAGCAGCACGCAAACCTGTAATATTTTGTGTATATCGAAATATAGTTAGATAACATTTGTTTAAAATCTTGTTATCTGTATGTATGTGTGCATGTGTGTGTGTGTGTGCGTGCTTGCGTGCGTGCGTGTGTGTGTGTGTGTTTTGTGGGAGTGTTTGTGATTAGTGAAAAGCAGTGCTTTCCATTTTAAAGGTCTGTTAACACAGTTACAATATAAACTTGCTGAAAGATTTGGCTGCCCAGATTTTAGATTGTTCTTTTTTTGAGCGAGACTGTTTGAAATTCTGATTGAAATATAAATAATAAAGATAGGAATACAAAAATGTAGGTTTCTTAGCTTTAAAAAAAAAAAAAACTTCTATTCATAATTTAACAGTTATAGGAAATAGTGAATTTATGAACTGACATCACAACAGTCTGTTGCTATTACTTCACTGCTTGTCAAGGCAATGTTAGTGTGAACAGGACTTCCGGTCAAAATGGACGCTAGGCAGGGGCACTGTTTGGAGCCGAGGCAAATTTTTTGCTTCTGCCAGACGGTGGCCAATGCATTTTTGCTCCATTTGTAGACTGGATATAGTTTCATCGCTTAGCTTCTGAGTTGAATGCATGGCGTGACACTGTGCACTGGGGATTTCATTTGGAATGTTTTTTGTGTCTGTGACCAACGGGGTGGTGTGAATTGTAGATTCAGAAAATGGTGCGATGCTTGTTGTCACAATGTTGGTGGTGCCCGTATGTGATTAAAATTGATCACGTGGGCAACTGCTAATCTGTTAGTGACTTCTGCTACCATCAATGATGAACTGCATTTCTAATGTTGGACTGTTTGTGTTAGCACTTTGAATGGCTGTAATGTGTGTAAATGCTAGATATGCTGAGACAGCAGTCTGTCAATATTTCCACAAGGGACTGTGATAAACATTCTGTGTGTTTTTTGTTGGCACAGGAGCGGAGCAAAGATGGGGTGACCCGTTTGCTATGAAGCTGAAACTAAGACTACCAGTGTGAACAATATTCACTTCTGTCTGCAAAACTGCCAATTTTACTTCAATAATTTTCTTTATATATACAGTCATGTTTATGACTGCAGTATGTTTTTGTTAAAAAAAATTATTCACCATGTGAGCATGTACTGCATATTGGACACTAGTTATTGTTCTGTCATGAATTGAATACCTGTTTTTTTATAAACCTTTTTACAACATATCCTAAAATATTTTTTATTCTTCAGATGTGAAAATTTTGTACGGTTTGTTTTTGAAAAACCAATTTCTCATTTGTACTAAATTTCTGGCATCTGATTTTGTTGTTGTTGTGTGTGTGTTGGTGGTGGGGGGGGGGGGGGGGGGAGGGGGGGGGGGGTACAGGACTCATATTATGTCAGGGTGTATTAAGGGTATATTTAATCACATCCTTTAGTTTGGACAAAAAAGTAGCAGTGATTAAGATAAGTACAAGGAAAGGTTGATTTTTATTTCTCAGATTTATATATTATAATATATTATATATTTTAAAGACAGTCACTACATTTCTTTCTTTAAACATTTCATACTTTATATAAAGATTTGAAGCTAAATAATTTTTGTAGAAAATTTCTTTCTTTATTTCAACTCACAGTTAATATAAATTCTTATTTATAGGACTTTGCAGATATACTACTCCAGACCAAGCAAAGAGGTCTAGATTTATTGAAGTTTCCAGGATTTAAACAGGGAGAGTTCACTGAGCTTCCTGATAAGCTTGAGACTCGACCAATCCTACATCAAGTCTCAAAGACTCAAAGTCTTAAGGTAAGTGTTAGTAAAAGGATGACAAGTCGAGTTCTTTAGCGTGTATATGTTTTTTCGGCTATGTATAGTACTCCCTAGGGTTGATGTACTACCCATTAAGTGCCAACTGGCCTATACAAATGTGAATCTAGTACCATATGCATAATGCACCACAGGCATGAAAAGGGTCCTTTACTTTTCTTACTTTATACATTCCAAGTGGTACAGGCAGGTATAGTTCCCTTTACTTTTCCTACTTTATACATTCCAAGTGGTACAGGCAGGCATAGTTCAGGAGTCCAAATATCCACTAGAATAAGCAAAGAATTTCTAACCCTTGGACAACAGGATACACAAGAGTAATGCCTTTAAAGTACCTACGAGCCTGTGTCACAACTAGAAATGACTAGATTAAGTCTTCTTGGGGTGATAGGAATAATTCTGACTTTCTGAGCTGTTGAATGGGAAGTTAATCAAACACTTATCTGGGATTTGGATTAGCATTTAGATGTGACTCTTTGGGTTAAAAACGTACCAGACCTTCAGCCTAGAAAAAAAAAGACAGTTGGTCAGTGATTGGAGTAAGTGGAGAACTCTGCATCTCAGGACATTAACTTGTTCTGACAGCTTGAAATATAACTCTTTGAGTCCCAAGGAATGCATCATACATTCATAAGTTCCTACATAGAAGCCCAATTAACGCATGGTGTATTGATTTTAGTTTTCCTGCACTACCCCTTGAGCCTGTGATGCTAAACACTCTGGGATTCAAAGAGTTAAAGTAAAAAATTATTCATTGGATATTGAAGATAATGGAAATAATTTTGTTCACAAGAAAAAGTTCATGAAGAGGTCACAGATTTTAAATGAACGAGTTATGTGTTCAGAAACATGTATCAGCCTTCTGACTAAATATTTTAACAGGTAAATAATTACAAGGTAGGGGTTCTCTATAGACCATAGAACTGTCTTCAGAAAGGCCATCTTATTGAATGCAAGTAAGAAAGCTGGTGCTCTAACAACCTGTAAAACAACTGAATTATTTTAAACAAATTTCGAATGAGAAATCCATCATTATTCTTTGAGTATATTATCAATACAAGTTGACCAAGTGTAAAATTTGTACCATAGAATTTTCCATCAAGTGTCAAATGATTTATAAAAATACAGGGCTAGTACCATGTGACCAGTATACCTCATGGTATGAAAATGGATCTTTTACTTTGTACTTTTTATACCATTCAACATAGAGGCATTTGAAGGAGGCAGGAGTTAGTAGTAGGATCAAATATGTATTGCTAATTTATTACAAGACTATGTTGGCCCAATAAAACTGTTTATCTCGCAGGACTAAGGAAATAACATTGCTGCAAAATAGGTTCTTGTCTAGTTTTAGAATTTTATTATTCAGAAATCCTATTTAAATAATATAATTTTAGATTTCTTGATAAGTTCACTAATTCAGTTTATGTTATATTTATTTTGCTAGAGTATAGTTATCTGCATGTTACTCCCTATGTTGGTTCTCGGCATCATTGTGAGGGAAAAAGAAAACACCCTCTGCCCCCCCTCTCCTCCCCAACAAGCATGTTATACAGGACAAGTAATTATGGGTGTTTTCTTTGAGGTCTGAGTAAATCTTCATGAGAGGCATGGAACCAACAGTCTGCACTCAAATAAGTCACTAATAAAATTAATATGCATGCAAACTCAGTTTCTGGAACAAGACCAAAGTCTATTCCCTGGGGAATTCCCTGTGGATAAATAACCATAACTTTCTGCTGGAGTTTGCAGCCGGTGAGCAAGCACAAAAAAGAAAAAGATTTGTATCCTGTTTATAGGTGCCATTATATTTTACTACAGTCAGTTTATTAATATCTTATGTTTTTGTCTCTTTCACATGTCGTCCGGATTATAATACATATTTGTATATATATATATATATATATATATATATATATATATATATATATATATATATATATATATATATATATATATATATATATATATATATATATATATATATATATATATATATATATATATATATATATATATATATATATATATATATATATATATATATATATATATATATATATATATATATATATATACACACACACACACACACACACATAAGCCACACACATTATACTTCACAACACTAAGTTTATTTGTGAGGGGGCTTCAAACGAAAACCTTAAAGGTGCAACAGAAATGTCAATAACTATGTCACTGTCTTGTAACCGGTTAGTATTGTTCACTGATCAAACAATGGATAAGAGAACACTGTTCCTCTTTTAGAGCATGTCAGAAGTGGGCTGGCTATTTTAAAACTGTCATTGTGCAGTCACCATGTTCATCTACACGGTGATGTCACGTGTATAATTCTCTTGGCATCTGTAACAACAGTATTGCAGGTTATAAGGAAGTGGCTTAGTTGTAGTTTTTTCTATTATACTTTTAAGGTTTTATTTGAAACCTCCTCATATGTCCCATCTTTCTTCTTCTCATGCACCAGTAAGTAGTCTAGGTTATGTGTTATATTATACGAGAATAGGTTTATTTATATTGTATTTTTATTTCCATCTCCCTGACAAAAAGCCAGTATTATCTAGTGTATTTACAACATTAAGTTTATTGATATCTTATGCTTTCTGTCTCTTTCACAAGTAGCCTGGATTCAGAAAGATCTGGGAAATGCTGTTTCTTTCAGAGGCTTCATCAGCAGTTTTGCAGGATTCATTTTGGTGGATTTTTATAGATAAATTTAACAAGGAGGTATTTTCCATATTATTAGTTATTTACAGGTATATGTAACTATTGTGTAAATGTGATATCTGCTTATTTAATAAAAAGGTACTGTTATATGCCAGTCTTTTCAGCCGCTGACATTTTATGTTACAGAGATGTGGTTGTAAAGAAGAATTATGAGACCCCACCCATAGACATTATTTAAAAAAAAAAAGCAATGATGTTGAGAACTGATTACCAGTATCAAAAGCAGTCAGTTCACATTATTTGGCCCCATCGTTATCTCTTTTACCACGAAAAGCCACAGAACTGACACTTCTGGTAAGTTACCACTTCCCCGTGAAAGCTGCTTCCCGACTTGCTATATGAGACGCTATCTAGTAGAATTCATTACATTGAAGTGTGTGCAAACGTTAAGCATGACTAAATTTACTAAACATAGCATTTAGGGGGTTTCTTGTTTTTGAAAAATAACTTTATTTATAGAAATTCCTTCATAATATTGTTTCCATTAACTACAGTGGTTACCAGGTCACATGGTCAATTATATGTGTGTTATGCTGTAATCAGTTTACAGGCCCCAATTTTATTTGTATTTTAAACAATAAATATATTTTTCATATTTGTGTGTTTGTGTGACATACGTACAATTGTTGATTTTAATGTGTTATTAGTGTACGAATATCTGACAGATTGAAAGTACTGAAGCTTAGCAACAGGAAATCTTACATTCTGGCCATGTGGAATTAAGAAACATCTGTATCAGAAATTGTTGGCACTAGATCAGACAGAAGACTGTAGATAAAACATTTTGGCAACATCACACAGTATGGACTATAACAATTTAATAAATGTCCAGAAATTATTATATTCACATCCCCTCAATGGACACTACTTTCTAACCATAGGATGCACCCTAATATAACTGCTATACAGTTAAATAGTTCCTAGGATTTGCTCCTATTTGATTCTCTATATTGAGGTGTTAATCTTATAGACAGCAATCTGGGAGGGGAACAGTGTCAACCACAACTACCAGCATCATCATCAATCAGCATGTCCTTTACCCAAACATTGCTCTCTTCACAGCATGCCTAAAAGTCTTTCCTACTCTAGCCAAAACCCCAGCCCTGTATGCTTTCATAGCCAATTCATCTTTAAAGTCTTGTATCCGCCTTCACAAGGGCGGTTGCTGGCTTGTTTTCCGGAAACTGCACCCTACGTCACTGTTCTCTCCAGACCACCATGGCACTTGACATGTCCAAAATACCTCAGCTTTCGGAAGAGGATGCTGTTTATGAGCCAGTTCACTATCATGCAGAAATTGTTATAATACCTGAGAAACTGATGTCAGAAGTAATAATGGAGAAATAAAAGGTAAAGAAAGAAGATAATAGAAATTGTTCATAGTTAAAAAAGTATGTGTGTGTGTATTTGTTTGGAAGCACTATCTCCATTGCAGAGGCAAGTTGCACTGAATATGCGCATCCCCTGTTGTCTTTAAAAACAATACCTGGAGGGGCTACGGTCTTTTCCATAGTGCATCTGTTTGAACGTCATGAGAAGAGCCTTTTCCTAAACCACCTTCCATGGATATAAATTTCTAGTATGTTGAGGATTGTGAAATGCATTCACTAATCTCTAAGCCACAAGAAGTTTTGAATATGTAGGTTAGACATGATGTATTTCTTCCATTAACTGGTTTGTTAATTACTTTCTCAAAACTATCTCGAAGGGGAGTTATCAAGAGGACAAGAACTCATTATTTGACAGAATCGCAGAGAATTACTCAGCTCTGTTTGCCAGCATCAGTCCAGACATTAAGGACAAGTTTCTCTCTGTATGTTGATTGCATCTAATGTTTTATACATTAATATTCTATACCTTCTTCTCCTCCTCCTTCTTCTTATTCTTCTTTTTCTTCCTTCATTTACTTCATCAAAGTGTTGGGAGGAGATGTAAGGATTGGTTATGTGCTTTTTCTAATGGGTTATAAAAATTAATCAGCTTTCCTTTGAACTTCGTCCTCATATTCCTCTGAACTTCGACCTCATATTATGGCGGCCAAACAAATACCCTAACAGGGCCTCAGTCGTGTGTAAAATGTAGACTTCCTCTGACGAACACACCGCGGCAAAACTAGGATTACTGTCCGTTGACACTCTCGAGAAACGCAACAATACACACGATAATAGCGACATGGCCGGGAGACCACGCGCTCCGACGCAGGTTAGCAATAGTGTTCATCCGATTAAACTCACAGCCGAGCGTATCCCCTGTGCCGCTATGCGATTGGGGGTTAAGCTAGATGGCTGGGACTCACGAGCAGCAGCTACCCCATCTCCTGCAACTTCCTCCAATTTATTTGCTCGTGAGTCCCAGCCATCTAGTTTAGCCCCCAATCCGCGCTGTGTGGAGCGGCACAGGGAATACTGTTGGCGGTGCAGAAACAGGTCCACAATTAAAATATCGCTGAGACCCTGTTGGACTATTTGTTTGCCCTCGATTATATTGGCCTGTTATTCGGAGACGATCCTAGTTTTGCCGCGATTTGTTCCTTGGCAGGCACTCAGCATTTTACACACAACTGAGGCCCTGTTTGGGTATTTGGCCGCTATAATATGGGAACGAAGTTCGAAGGAGAGCCAATTAATCTTCTAACATTTTCATTCATGAACTAATAAGTGACATATGATATTTTTCAGAAAAAAATTATCAGGACATCTTAAACAGTAACATTTGTTTCTATCTGTTTCTTCTTTTTCTTGGGTGTGTATCACACCTGGTTAAGCATCTCTCTTACTCAAAGATCTAGAAGTCAGGCTTCAGCCTGTCTTTGTGTAAGGTTTACTGCTTCCAGACAATTTCCAGCCAAGGTAACCGATTTTTATCTGCTTATTAGCAGGGTTTTACTGTGTAATAATTATGTCAAAGCAATGTCCCTAGTATTTCAGACTAAAAGGGCATTTTCAATGTGCACAGCTTGCAGACAGAACCTCTTGTTATTTTTTCCTTCTCCAAATACAAGAGTCAGTCTTTGTTACTGCTGGCTCGAGGCAGATGCTAAAGTCTTATTAATCTTTTCTCAAGTGGTAGTACTTTTCAACAATATCCTGTTCAACCCTCAGGCTTATAATTGGGATGTATAGTGTTGATTGATTTCTCAGAGTATACATATTTGGTATTTTATATTTATGTATCTGATAATTATTTAAATGACCAATATGTAATTTGTATTGTTTCACATATTGCTATGATTTGGGTTATGATTACAAGAGAAACTGTATTTTCCTCATGTTTATCATCTGAAGAACAAAAATTATTGCTAAAAGGGATGCTTTTCCATGCCTATTAATATATTTGGAATATGGTGCTACCTCTTTTTTTAATAGACCTGTCAGGGATCACTTTGTGATGTGGTCAATAATATATATAGGTCTTTACCAGACATTTCCTGGTAAGTATTTTTTAGCCGGGTTAACTTGGGAGCCTGTCTAATTTTTAAAAAACAATCTCTACCTTGAAAAAGATTTGAAAACCTGACATCAGGTAAATGTACTAGTCAAGAGAGATATTTAATTATGTAAATTTAATTTAAATAACAGAATGTTTCCAATATTCCAGTTTTATCCAGATTGCCTTTCACAAGCGTTATACCTGGCATATAGAGAAGCATTTCCAGAATCACTGTCCAGATTTAATGATGACTTCAAGCATTATTTGGTCAACCTCATTTATGAATGGATTATTGGTAAGATAAACATCTATGCAACACAGCTATTAGATGACTTGTGTATTGGGAAATATTCTTCTTATGCTTTGTGTTGAAAGCAGACTCCAGCGGAAAGTTCTGGTTGTTAGTCCACCTGAGGTTCCAGAACCTGAGTGTTGCATGCATATCCATTTTACAGATCTACTTATTTTTGTACAGACTGTTGGTTCCTTGTCTCTCAGGCAGATGCACTCCCTAATTAGTTTAATCTTATGATACGCTTTATGGGGAAGCAGTGGGTCTAATCTTGTTTTCCCAACAATTAAGACCCTCAAGCTAACACAAAAAGTATTGTGAAATGAGTATGCAGTTGCGTTCTTACTGCACAAGGGAAAAGTAGTAAGCAAAAAGTAAGCAGACTTGTGGCATATTTTCACCTCTAAATATAGTGGTCTTGATTCTCTCCAATCAGTTAATGTGAATGCTTATCCTTATTGGAGCACTATGCTTGCATTTGCACAGTAGTTAATTTCTTCTTTCACAAAGAAGTGACTTTTGTCTGTGCAAAAATTTTCATTATTAATCACAGCAGAAAAAAGTTACTATGGTATATATTTTTGGGGGGCATCATGGGCACCAAAACATGGGGGTCATGCTTTTTGAGGGCCTCCATCCCCAATAATCTTGAGGGGTATGAGGAGTCCCCCTCCTCCTTCCCACAGAAAATTTTCAAGGAGGCTAAGTGCTCACCCAACCATGTGTAAAGTTAACTGTGTGTCGTGTTAAGGATGTAAAAGAATTAACCCCAGCATTTCTATCTGATTGTTATTTTACTAAATTTTTTTACATTTTCAGTAGTTTACCATTGCTTTCTGAGCAGTTTGCCATTGCTTTTTGAGCAGATGGCTTTTATTACCACTGTCAAAACTAATGCAAGGAAGTCTGCTGTCAAACTGCCTGCAGCATGGATTGAACAACACCTTACATTAGGAAGCATGTTTACATTGCCTAAGCCACTCAGGCCCCGGTAAAGGGTGAATTTTTTTTACATGGACTTCTAGTAATTTTTTACTGGTCTCTGGGTAGTGAGATCAGATGCCTGTGTGTATTGTTGTGCACGTAAAAAAAAATCCCTTGGCAGCTGGAAATCAAAAAGAGTAGCCTGACGGCACTGCCCAGGCAAAACTTTTGAGTTTAAAATGTACCGAAATTATTTAGGGATCCTCACTGGTGCTAGGGAGTTCGTGCACTGCGCTGAGATTTTTCAGACTGAGGCTTGAGTGTGAAGTAGAACAGAGCACTTATGGGTTACTCCTTGTACCATAATGTTGATCTGTTGTCTAAACCATATATGGTATCTCCTTCTTTTTTTTAGAGTATGTGTTTATACATTTTATATAATTTCAAACATATTCTTAAATTCATTTGCCATTTAACTTATAATACTAATAATAATAATTATTATTGCACACTCAAAACAAGGCATAAGCCCCTTGGACCCGCCCTCCACCCCTAGAACATGTATAAAGGAGCTGAGGCTGCCCCTCTTCCCCTCCCCTGTTCCCCCTATTGTTTTCATTGTATTGTTTTCATTGTATCGGCGCCCTTGGTTTGCATGTAGTCAAAAAGTATGAATTCTGCAGATGGCCAGTGTTTTCTGTGAAAGAAAATGTTTGTGCTTTACTTTTCATAAAAGCTTTTAATTGGTTTATCCATATCTGAAAAGAAAACCTGTGCCACAAGCTATCAGTTTTTTGGCATTAGATTGATGAAGTGGTCATAGAATAAATGCAGATGATAAATTCTAGAAACTAGTACCTTGGAATCAATTGATAAATGTTTGTCAAGAGTAATTTTCTTAGTTTGACAACAAACACAAACCATTATCTTTATCTTCTTCTTTGCGTTCACTGGCAGTAAACCCTGGTGGAAAGTTTTGGTTGTTTTTCCACTTCTGAACTCTTGTTCAAGAACTTGAGTTTTGCATGCAGATCCATTTCACATATATGGCTTATTTTATGCAGACTTTAGGTTCCTCGCCTCTCAAACAGATACACTCTGACTTTGAAGGAAAAACCCCTAATTAGTTGAGTTTTATGACATGCAAGTTTAGGAGGGCACCAGGTCTATTCTTCTCCCCCCTACCCCCCCCCCCCCCCCCCCTTTTTCCCCACAGTAGGGCCCTGTCACATGGGGAAAATTAACCATTTTGAAAGTTCTCATATCTTAATTTAATTATTTATAGTGCTCTTTATGGTTTTCAAATGTACATTCTGCTCCATTTACTGACTGCTGCCATTCATCAATATTTGCATTATTATTAGGTTTACATCCCTTACCTGGGATGTGGAAGAAATGGAAAGAAGAAGGCCTGAAACTACCTCAGAGGTCAAAAGATCACGATGCAGCTAAAAAACTGCTAGAAGCAGCTGCAGTAAATGTGAAAGGTATGGCTGTCCTATGTGCATGCTTTTGCTAAACTGAATATTTTTCATTTACTAATCTGCCTTGATTTTTCTGGGACAGTAGTATATTTGTTCCCTCTAATCAACAGCAGATACACTGTACACTCTGGCTTCTGTTTAACTAGTTTATTCTTCTCCATGAAATAGGTGGGTGCTCAGTTAAATACTTTTTTTTTTTCATTTCATTCTACATCAGGGTGGGGAACCTTTTCTTTTTTCTGCCAAGAGCAATCAGAATTTGCAAATCAGACAAAATAATTGACTTAAAAAAATAGCCTGCTATATTTTATTAAAAGGCACTGAAATTGGAAATAGATGGATTGAAGAAATAAGGATGTTTAAGAGTTACCCTAAGGTGAACATTGATGAAAGAGGCTGGACTGGATTCCATCCATGATATCAAGGTGATTGGACAGGATAGATCGGAATGGAGAGATAGATTGTGAGCCCTATGTGACAAATAATAGCACAACAGGACAATGAATTAATGAATGGATTTTGTTAAAAACTAAATCATGGTTGTCTTGGTAGAGTCAGACAACATGATTATTTAGCTAGCAGGCTGAATGTTCCCTATCCCAGTTGTACTTGTTACATTTGTATTGCATATGTTTCTCTAATAATAGTCTGTCTTAATGTAGTTATTTCAGTGTCCTTTGTTTTGTCTGCTGATTTACTTAATTGATTTTGTCATTTTTGTTCGCTGATGAAAGATTGCTGTAACATCTTTAGTTTTTGTGTAATGTTTTCCTGTAAGTATGAACTTCTCCACTCTGGATTTGATTTATTATGTCTTGGAACAAATGTTGTGACCTACATAAACAAAAATATCCAAGATATTAACTCTTTGGTTCATTAAAGTCAAGAGAGGCAAGGAAAAACCAGTCTACATACAAAGATTAGATCTGAAAAATGGGAGTGCATGCAGAACGTCAAGTTCTGGAACAAGACTAAAGTCTATGAGTGGATGAACAACACTGTATACATTTCTTTCCCATATTACTAGAAAGAAACTTCTTATTTCCAGTTCCCCGTGTGGGTTTTGTGGTCAGATTATTTGGAGGTGAGGGAGAGGGGAATAGACCTACTGCTCTTTAACACGCATGTTGTAACAAATGACGTATTTGAGGATTTACTGAATCGGATTTCACATATATCACAGCTTTGCTGTAAACCACAACATGCCAGTTGCCCTTTTAACAGCAAACACAGGAGAAGAAGATTTCCAGTAATATTCAATCAAATATTCTCTAAATTACCCTGTCTTTTTGCCAAAAGGCAGTTGCATTTTAGTCCAGGCAGCACTTTATCTGTGATATTGATAGTACCACACTTCAGCTTTCTAGAAACATTTTCTGGCACCAGGTTTTTTTTTTTTAAAAGGCTAAATTTATTATTAAATTAATTTTATTCCAATGTGGTCATGTACTTGAACCTACCACCTTTTACACTTTTTTTTTTAACCTTGAATATCACAAAGTACATTGCCTTTCCATTGCCACCACTCATCCATGATGTTTTACACTGTTTGTGACACCCATATTAAAAAGTATATTTTCCAGCTGAGTTCAGCCTAGATGTAGGTGCTTGCACTGAGGTAATTAGGAAACTTGGGATATCAGACTGTGACTTATCTCAAGGGCTGCTCAGTAGAACGAATACAAAAAGTCCTGGAGGGAATTTTCAAGTGGCTAAACCTGAGGTACAGCTTTCATTTATATTATCACCAGTGTCACTTTTCACTTATTGTAGCTTTACTTAGTGTATAATAATAAAATGTATTAATTCTTTGTGCATTTTAAAATCATTTTGCTTTTCATCTACATTACTTGTTGATTTACCTAATCAGTAACATACAATATGCACAAGTTTTTGTATGATCATTAACAATGTTTGATGTTTGATGTACCAAATAAAGCTAGTAAACTATTCTAAACAACTGCTGACAAAAAAAAAAAATTTTTTTCTAAAATTATGAAACTGCTATTCATTCATTGTCCTGTTGTGCCATTATATGTCACACAGGGTTTGTAGTCTATTCCTCCATTCTTCTCTATCTTGTACAATCAGTTCCATTTCATTTCATAGTCCAACAGTCATGGTCTCTCTCATCACTGTTTGTCTTTATGTTGTTGAATGTTGAATTAAGAGTCAATATCACAGCACTCAGGGCACTCCCATAAATACTCCATCCCCATCTTCAGCAGCAAGTGAATAGTTCTAATTCTGATGAAACCAGTAACTGTCTGATTGTATGTCTGTCAGTTGTTTTAAATACTGGTGATACCAAAAATCTTAAATAAATCAGCATGAGAGAAGATAGACTGAACAGATAAGTAAAGAAAGTGGTACAAATTTTTTTTTATTTTTCATTTTTAATTGAAAAGCCTCTTCTAAAAGCAATCACTAGATCAAGAAACCTACAGCCTTTTCCTATTGGTCATGTGGCATTCAAGTCGTTTAAACAAAACACACAGATTAAATCATAAACCAGAGACATGTCTCCAGGAATAATTTATTACTCTTAAGAAACAGTCACATGCTTTTATAGTTCTCTGCATCTGCAAACATCAAGGAAGAGTTACTACATAAATTCAAGTATTAAATAATTGACAGAGTGTAATGCCACATTTAACATTTGAAAATCTTCTTTTTTTCAGTCACATCGGCTTGGGCCAAGTGCAGAATTAGAGAGAGTAAAATTCAATATTTCTGGTCAAAGTCCATTGATTGCTCATTATCTGCACATGAATGAGGTTCCAGCTAACCAACAGACTGGTGTTAAAGTCAGAAGAACAGAAATAATGAAGCTTCCATATCCTTACAATTATTCTGCTACAGTAAATAAGAAGCTAGTTTAGTTAATTAGTAATTGTACAAAAGGTCTTTAAAATTTGAAGCTGTTAAGTTGTACTTTTTGACTGATTTAACAAAAACAAAAAATTTAAAAAAAAAGAACGTTGTGCACAGATGGGTCTTATCCAGCATCAGCGTCTTTTTTTTTTCCACCTCTATATTCACTAACATTTGTTTTGTTCTCTTCCTGTGCTTTGAACAATGATTATTTCATACTATTTGAGTACTTCTATTTTTGTGCAGACACCAATTAGTGAATGTTTATAGTTTGTTAGAAACGGTTTTAGTTGTTATTCCTATTTCTGATTAAGCTGGATTCTAGATTTAATTTCTGTTCTCTGTCATTGGCTGTCAGTTCCGACGGAAAGCTCCAGATCTTCATCCACTTCTTGGCTTCGGTCTTGTTCCAGAACTTGAGTTTTGCACATGCATTTTGCAGTTCTGGCTTATTTATATACAGACTGCTGGTTCCTTTCCTCTGATCAAGATGCACTCCAACTTTGAAAGAAACACCCTTAATTTTTTGCCCATTATACCTGTTTGTTATGGGTGGGGCGGGGGGGGCAACTGATATTTTTTCCTCCCTAAAAGGAGGCCCCAGAACCCACACAGGGATCATTTGTTTCAGCTTCAATGGATTTCCAAGTACTATGAAACCTACTTTTATATTCTTATTTTAATATTTTTATTTGTTCTCCCATATATGTCAACATTGGTACTTAAATAAACATATGATCCCACCTCTTAAAGTGTGATGTCACAATGGGAGACAAGGTTATTGTTTCTATGATTTATGATAACTATTTTTGTCACATGTAGTTCATTGTGATCTAAAGAGAACAGTGCAACAGGGAATGACCAGGGAATCTGGGGCCGACACTTAACACTCAGAGGAAAGGCAAGACAGACATTCCATCAGACTCCTACTGGTACCAGTGGAATATAAACTCTTTGTTGGCTACTGAAGATGGAAACGGAGCGCTTATGGAAATGTTTCCAGTGCTGTTGTGTCAGTTCTAAGTTCAGCTCAACTCAGTATAGTAGTAATTATATGGTGTGTCAGAATCACTAAATTATGAAGATAACCAAATAAAAGCTAAGTAATCAATTAATCAATAGATAAGAAATTTACATTGATTCTGGAGAGAACACCCTAGAGTAAACCTGACAATAGTATAACTAAAATATTCTTTCACTGAACCCACACAGCAAAACAAATAGAGCAAACACAGAGAAGAGAACTGCAGACATAGGTAAATATTATGGCAAGGTCACTGAGGTAGCTGGACAGGATGTCAAAAGATAGTAAGGCTTTGCATTAGTAGGCTGACTTATTTTCTTTTTTTTTTTTTACCCCACCAGAGCATCACACAAGGGATAAACACCCGATGACACAAAATGCCACCATGCAGATGAGGATCACCCTGGAGAGGTCCCAGAAATCCCTTTCAGTCGTTATGGCCATATCTATGGTTAGGCCATTTCTCTGCATCAGCTTTATTCAGGGCCCCTGGTTGAAGCCAGGGTGGTGCTTCAAATAACAAAAAAAAATTGCATCCCTCATGGGGATGACTTTTACAGGAGTAGGCTGAGGGTGTGTGTTTCAAATGAAGGAATAAAGAGCAGAAGAAAGAATTGTGACTAAAAACTAAATTTACTTAAATAATTACATTGTCACTGAATTTTCTCCTAGACATAATAAAACAGCCACAAGGCTATCAAAATATGTTGTTTTTAGCAGTCAGCGGTATGTTAATCAATACTATTTTTTAACAGTCAGCTGTCATATTCAACTATGTTTTAGCAATCAACTGTATATTAAACAAATACTATGTTTTCAATAATTACATGAGAGAAGTCCCACTTATCTTGAACAAAGGCAAATTGTGTGGGTGTATTTATATGTTTTTTAGAGTTAAATCAGTAACTTCAAATATCTACATTCCAAAGTAGAAGATAAAGGACATCTTACATAAGAAACAAAACATATCAGTGATTGATGCAAAGAAATATTTTACAGAATACAAATTATTTCACTCTGAGCTCAGTTAAGCAAGATGTTAATAATATTAACACTGGGATCTTGATTCCTACAATTTTGACATACCTTAACTATGCTACTCCAGATGGCACTACATATCAAGAATTCATTGCCAGCACACTGGAAGAGTCTGAATCTTTAAGTAAAGAATATGCCAGGTATGAATGGACCAAAAGTGTATGGTTTCTGCTGGAAATACTCATTTTAAAACAATGGGTGACTTCAATTATTATCTTTTGTGTTTTATTTTTTGAATAATTGTTTTTATTATTGGCAGATTCCAATTTGATCTTTTTTTCTAATTTGCACTTGCCATAAAGTTGCAGTCTAAGGCCATAGTAGTCAGGTGTAAGCTTACTTGGAGTACCGTTGATATTGTCTACCCATGACTTTCTTGCCCTTTCTGTATCGGAATCTCTTGATGGTTTTCTCTTACTGCTAGTTGATCCAGTTTCATTCTCTTAAGAAATCCAAAACACTTTACTTGTTATTATATTAAAATACATTTTAAATCGGGAGCTGGCATGGTGTAGGGGCTAAATGCTCACCTGCAGATAGGATGGTCTTGGGTTTAGGTCCCGATGGAGCCAGACTTTTTTTTTTTTCAAAAATGACCTTGGCCCACAAGTCGACCCAGCCCTAAATGGGTACCAGACAAAGTCCTGAGAAGTACAGTGGAACCTCGCTTAACGAGCATAATTTGTTCCAAAATTAACTAACTAAAAGGGCTAGTCGGTGGCCATAGCCATTGTCTCTACTGATGAGATCATCTGCCTATCGCCGCAGAGTGCAGACCATAACCAACAATACCTGTCGGCTGCTCTTCTTTCTTGATATGGGCTTTCCATCACATATAGTGCAGCTCATTAAAATGCTCTATCAAGACCAACAAGCAGCAGTCAGAATAGATGGAGAGACATCAGACTGGTTTGGCATCAAGCAAGGAGTCCGTCAGGGATGTGTGCTGTCACCGTATTTGTTCAACCTGTACGCCGAAAATATAATGAGAAATGTAAGAGATGATATAAACAAGGAACAATATGATGCCCTAAACATCGGTGGTCATGAAATACCAGAAATTCGTTATGCTGATGATACAGTATTACTATCAACATCACAAAATGGTTTAGAAAACTTATTAACCTCACTCCAAAGAAATAGTGAAAATCATAACTTATTTCTTAACACAGCAAAAACAAAGATAATGCATACAAACAAAACTGCCATGGAGAAAGAAATATATGTTAATGAGGAAAAGATTGGAAGTGGTGGAAAATTTCGAATATCTAGGTTCACTGGTTACCAACAATGGTGACACAATGAAAGAAATTAAACGGCGACTATCAATTGCTCTTCAAAGACTAAAACAACTGAATAAATTATGGAATTGTACAGATAGAATTACAAAGGTCAGATTTTTAAGAGCATGCATCTTTCCCTGTGAGACCTGGACACTTACTAAACAAGCGGAACAGCGCATAATGCATTTGATATAAATGTTACAGACAGGTTCTAAGAATATCTTGGGTAAAGAAAAGAACAAATGCATCCAAATACTTCAAGAGCTGAATATTGAAGAGGGTTGGCTAGTAAAGACAATAAAACAAAGAAAATTGAAATATTTTGGTCACTTGAAACGTCATGGAGGTCTAGAGAGAACAATAATGGAGGGGTATATGCCTGGGAAGAGAGGAAGAGGAAGGCCAAGGAGAAGATGGGTGCAGGATGTGGCAGATGATCTCCAGATGGGTGTATCAGACGCAGGACATCTTGCTCATGATAGGAAGGTTTTCCGGAGGGTTGTTATGGCAGCGAGGTTCCGCGAGGGACATGCTACTGAATGAATGAATGAATGAACTAAAAGGGCTGGCTACCCACATCCGAAAGAGAAATTGATGCTTTATTAATATCCTACCCCAAACAGGGAAAATCCACAGGTCACGGGACAGTCTAATATTTAAGGGGGTGGTAGATAGGCTGCATGCAGTTATGAGACCTAGGCTGCATTCAGTCGTGGGACCTAGGCTGAACTCTCTCATATGAGGTAGGTGGGTTGGGGTTAGGGCCAGTTCTATATGTTTTGGGGTCGTTATAAGCATCAGAAAGCCGGAAAACCCAGTCTTACCACCCTCTAAAATGTTGGACCGTCCTGTGACATCATCTGGAGTAGGATATTAATAAAGCACCCAGAAAATTTAACTCATTTGTCATAGTGTGAGAAAGGGATAATCAAAGTGTGTTGTGACAATTGGAAATTTAGAAGGGAAAAGAAGCAGAGGGAGACCAGAAGAGAAGATGTTGGACTATAAGGCATCAATGCATGGAGGATCATCTGTGCCAAAATTAGGGAGCATGTCTCATACCTTTTTTAATTGCAACAAAATAGTGGTAAAAGTTATTGTTGTTGTTGCAGAATTAAACAGTTTCTAAGCTCTGGGAGCACCCGTAGAAAATTTGTATCGCAGAAAAAGGGGGCAGAGGGGGGTGTTAAGCTTTCTTTTACTGTGCTATCAATAATATTGTTTACTATTATTATTATGTGCTTAATAGCAACAGCAACAAAATACATGAACAATTGCTTAACAAGAGAACAAATATATATATTTGATGGGGGGAAGGGCGTGCTCACTAAAATTATGTAGGGGGAGGGTTTGGGGTTCAAGGTGCTTGAGTTCAGTTTTTAAGTTAACCAGTGCCTTGAATGGAATTAAAATGAAGTAATTACTGAATACATGCTTTAAGGCTCATATTAATTTTCCTGTTATAAATATTGACTAATTAAACATGTTGTTATCCCAAATAATTTGCAGAATTTGTGAGAAGACATCCGCAGAGATTCTTGAATTACAACAACAGCAGAGAAACTCAAACAAGGAAATAAACAAACTCAGGAAAGCATTGACTACAGCAAAAAATGCCCAAGAAAGATGTCTTGCCATAGAAGCAGTTGCAATGTATAAGGTATTCTTGAGTCTGGTTTACACCATAAGTTTCAGTAAACATTTAGGTTACAAATCAGCATTTTCTATTTGCCATCCCTCTGTAAGTTTCCGTGCCCTTTTTGGAGGGCTGGAGGGGAGGGTGGGGGTAGGGGGTGGATAGACTCATGTCACTCTAACCAGAATGCCGTAAAAGGTGATTAATTAGGGATGCTTCCTTCGAAGTCAGAGTGTATCTGCCTGAGAGGTGATAAACCAACAGTCTACCTACAAACAAGCCAAATCTGTAAAATGGATGTGCATGCAAAACTCAGGCTCTGGAACAAGACCAAAGCCCAGAAGTGGATGAAGAACCAGGACTTTTTTGCCGGAGTCTACAGCCAGTAAATGCACAAAAATGTAGAAGAAGAATCTATCAGTTTTATTTTATTCTTCCTTCATTGACTGAGCCAAAAATTCAAAAGCAGAAATTACAGTACACTTATAATATTAATTTCTAGAGTATCTCATCAAGGATTATCCTGTTTCAAATTGCTACTTTTGTGAGTTTTCCCTAAGCTGTTTTTCAAGATCTGGTAATTTATTTTTCTTAAATCTATGTACTTAAATAAAAATGTAACATGTCTGGTTTGCGACTAATAGTTAATCTCCGAAAGTTCTGAACTGACTTCTTTGAAATTTTTGCACAATGTTGCATTTGAATATGCGTGTGTTTTTTATATAAGAGTGTCGCAAAAACTCTTTGCTCCAGAGATGATCTCATCCGCATCTTGGTTTTGTTTTCCAACAATTTAATTTCTTTTTTCATTGCTGCGTTCCCAGCACGGTTTTTATTTTTGCTGGTAGGTGAACTTTGACTGTTGACCTAAAAAATCAGCATGAAGCTGTCGTTATGGGGATGAAGAGTTGTTGAAAGATTTATGGAAATGTAAAGATGTGGGCGTTCCTTCAGTGAGAGAGAGAGGAGTAGCTGGTGGATTTGGGGGTGATGACCAAAACTGAGAGCTTAAGGTCACAGTAACCGCCTTAATCCACTAATAGTAGCAGCAGTCTTCCCCCAGAGGTCATTGCCTTGCAGTGGTGGGGGAGCTTGATGCTAGATTTATGTACTCCTTATCCAAGAGTTCAGGAGACCATAATTTCCATCCCAATGTAGGACACAATTTTTTGTGGACAAGGTTACCAGTGCTACTCTGAACAGACTATAAAATAAACAATCCTAAATTTTTTTTACATTCTGTATTTAATTTTTTTTTTTAAAAGCAAAATATTTTTAGTTTAACATTTTATTCCCAAATTTCACACAGGCGTGCACACAGAAGACAGTGCCTTTGCAAGAACAGCAGTCACCAAAATCAGACATTGATGAATCAGCAAGTTGTGATGAAGAAAGTCTGAACTTAAACTATGATGCAAAAATAGATGAAAGAGAAGGAGAATATTAATTAAAACATTCATGTGTATGTCTCTACTTCTCAAGGGACATAGTACGCTTATTCTGAGAACTTTGATTTTCTTACATTAATAATAATTCAGTCAAAAAGCAATATTACTCTTATACAAAATGTAAATATAAACAGAACAAACATTCTCATTTTTATGCAAGTTCTTTTCTCTAATAGATAAGGTCTTTTCAAATTCTACAATGTTAATAACATCCTCATCATCAGTTCTCGTTATGCCTAGTGGCACATGAGGCTTCAGAGAGGACTTTCCATGCTTTCCTGTCCTGTGCAATCTTCAATGCAGTTTTCCATGTCAAAGATGCCACACTCAGGTCACTTTCTATCGTTCATCTCCATGTTGTTTTTGGGCGCCCCTTTTTTCTCTTTCCCTCTGGTATCCATGTGAGAGCTGTTTTGGCGAGTATATCAGGATTCATTCTCATAACATGGCCAAGCCATTTCCATCTTCTCTTGGTTATCATACTGTCTAGAGTTTCTTGGTTTTGACTTGACATCTCAGGTCCAGCATGGTGCATCAGCCTGTTAGGCAGCGGATGTTGCACTCGCAGGGAAGCAGAGGCAGATTAGGAAGAATTATGTGACATATCCTGCCTACTACTGAAGCTTCCATCTGCTGTCTGCACTGAACCATAACTTTCCAGGCTCATATTGTACTCATTTATGACTGCAATGGACATAGAGCAGATGTGTTGAACACTATATCAGCACTTGGTTCTGTCAGGGATTGATTATGGACTAGGACTGTTCACAGTTTCAAAAAGTTAACTGGTGAAACTAGAGCGCATACAGAATGCAGTTATGTGGGTCATTTTGGGATGTACCAGAAACACCCCAGCAGTCTGTATGCGATACTTCTTTGGTTCGCCAACTGTTGCAGGTAAGCTCAAGGTGTTGCAGGCAAAGTCCTACCTCAGAGTAGCTGCAGTCACAGATCCCCTCTACATGAAGCACTGGATTCAGTTAAGGGTCTGCAGCTAATAAGAGGGAGGTCATGGATGGCTCAGGCGGAGGACACGATCAGACAGGTTTGCGTCCTAGAGAATATTAGGCAAGGAGAGGAATGGGTCAGAGCAGGGCTATCTTAACAGCAGTATGGGCCCCTGATGTTCCATATTTGAGAGAGGGGGGGGAAGCTGGGGCCTCTATGCACTTAGATCCCCTGGGCCCAGCAGCCCATGCGTTAAGAGGGTCCTAGGTCAGAGTGCCAACGATGAAACAGGGCGAATAGGACAACGAATACTGCATACTGTCACACACGTACAATGTGACGAGTCTGACAGATGATAATAAAAAATTACTTAACAAATACACCAGTTACTTATTCGCCTAGTCTTTATCGTTAACTGCCGTTTGGAAGCATTGAAGTTCATACTGTTCTGCCACGCTTGGCTGGTGGCATTGTATTCTAATTCAAGATGTATTCGTTTGTACCTGATTACACATCACAATGGGGCCTGCCTTTGCAGAACGAGGGACCTCTAAGACACCACAGTGTAATACATCCTATCATCATATTGTGTTTTGGTTTAAATAACATGTTGTACATAAAGCACTTTCCAATCGGACCAGCCTTTCTCTTCCTAGAGAACATTAGGCAAGGAGAGGAATGGGTCAGAGCAAGGCTATCTTAACAGCAGTATGGGCCCCTGATGTTCCATATTTGAGAGAGAGGGTGGGGGGGGGGAGCTGCGGCCTCTGTGCTCGTAGATCCCCTTGGCAAGTGCCCAGCAGCTCATGTGTTAAGAGGGTCCTAGGTCAGAGTGCCAGCAGAACAGTCAGACATGTATACAGTCATAATCACTTTGAGCCGGGAGTGCAGGAAGTGGCCAGCAGGTGCCACAGAGGTAAAAATTAAGCAGTTAATTCAGGGTAATGCTTGCCCAGGTTATGTGATTATTAATACAGATGGTTCAGTGTCAAGAGACAAAACAAGTGCTCGTGGCTTCTTAGCAAAAGCTAATAATGGTCGATGTTGGGTGCAGGAGAGCCTAGCATTTGATATCACAACATCCAGCTTGAGAATGGAGGTGGAGGCAGTAACTACAACTTTAGGCTGGCTAGAGAACATGATATACCTACATGCACATGCACAAACACACAAATCGTGCTTGTAAAAGATCCAGAAAGCATGCTGATGAAGGTGAAAACGGGCATTCTTCGTGCAGAGTGGCATTCTTGGCTCTGGAAGTACTGAAATAAATGTTTCTGTTTATTAAACTCAAGTTTTATTATGGGAAAAATTGATTGGTGCCTATCTTAACTTCTTTATTTGTCTATTATATCTTTGAAAGCTTAGATTTCTTATACAATATATTTTTAAAAAATAAGTTCCTGTGGGATTAGCTACCCCATTCTGGTGGTAAGATTTTTTACAAAAAAATCAGTTTCAGCCCTAAGGGTTATAATTGGGATATAAAGTGTTTACTGAGTTCTCACTTAATTGTTTTTTTTTAAATTGTGTAATTATTTATTTAAAGCATTTGTGTAGTGCGATTGGGAATATGGTCTTATTCACACTTGGATGAGAAAGAGGGGTGATTATGATATATACTGTACAATGCATATGTAGATAATCTTACCAAGAGTGTATCATTAAAATATTGGATTTTTTAGTCCCTTTATCTATCTTTTTATCATTCTCGTTGATTTAAACCCTCATCCCTTCAAGAATTTTAGAAGCAAAATCCAGACAATCATAAACAAGGATTATCATAGTATGGCTTGGCATGGGTTAAACGATGACCTATGTACTATTGTGAAATAAGAGAAGACAAGAAGAATAGAAGAAGAAGCAGAAATGAGAAGGGAAAGAGGATGATGATAAAGAGGATGTGATGGAAAAAGGCAAAGGATGGAGGAGGAAAACAATAGAATGTTCGGCTATCCTCCGACTAACGGAGTCGAGCCACAGTCACGTGTCAATTTGGCTACTTAAGTTGCGGTCTTCTAGCGGTTTTCCGCCAACAACCGCTACCGCCACGCGGCGTGGATTGGGGCTAAACTAGATGGCTAGGACTCACGAGCACCAGCTTCCGCATCTCCTGCAGCCTTGCTCCGCCACGTGGCGGTAGCCATAGTCGTTGGAAGACCGCAACTTGAGTAGCCGGAAGCGCGCAATTGACACGTGACTGTTGCTCGACTGGATAGCCGAATGTTCATCAACAACAAAACTATGCAGTAAAGTAACAAAATGCATACATAAAAGGTTTAAAGTTGAATCAGAATGTGACATAGACAAGAGTTTTAGGCTATCCTCCGAATAACGGGCACATATTTTGGCGGCCCAAAACACACCCTAACAGGGCCTTAGTCACATGTCAATTGCGAACTTCCGGCGACTACCGCCACCGCCGAGAGTATCTCCCACGCAACTACGCGCGGCGTGGTGCGGGGCAAAGCTAGATGGCTAGGACTCACGAGCAAATAAAATTAAGAAAGCTGCAGGAGATGCGGTAGCTGCTGCTCGTGAGTCCCAACCTTCTAGTTTAGCCCCGCGTTGCGGCGTGGGAGATACTCTCGGCGGTGGCGGTAGTCGCCGGAAGTTCGAGTTTAAGTT